AAAATGAATCAGATATTCGGTTTGTAAAAGGAACTTCGTCATGTTTCATAAGTAGAGATGTTCTGATACCATTTTTTGTCCCCATGTGATTCCGATGTTTGTGCTGCGAGTATCGGCCGATACAGATACCAGCATGGTGGGATCATTAGCTAACAGGTTAGCCTGTTTTAGCTTGGTCAGTTAGCCATATTAAACTACATGACTTTGAAACCATGAATCGATTATTGAAATAATCGTCAACTAATTTAGTAATCGATTAATTGTAAACTGGAGTATAGAGTCTGTCAAACATGCTTTCAGAACAGCAGTTATACCAAAATTATAAAACACTTTATATTCAAGATAGAAAAAATATTTTTTTTGTCCATCAATCTGCTCTATAATCCAGAGCTCCTCAAGTGGAAAAGTTTTAGTTTCACCAGGTTTAATTTCGTAAAACAATTGTCTTTTAAGGAACTTTTGGCGATCCGATTATTAATCAGTTAATCGAAAAAGTAATCAACAGATTAACCGATTAGCAAAATAATTAGTTGCAGCCCTACACGGCTTTTAGATATTTTGAAACCCCAGCGGAGATTTGATTCTTATGAAAAGAACGCAGTGCAGTTTGGCTGTTTCTCAGTCTGTTTACTTGTGCGTTCTCGTGTCCTGGTGAAACACCATCACCCTCTTTACCCAGCATGCATCAGAGCAGACTAGTCCGTTCTTTAGACTGACAGCTGTCCCAGCATGCACTGCGGCAGCAGCAGCTTCCAGGTTAGCGCTCACAGAGCTCAGAGGATTAAGTTAAAAGTTCTCTTTTCTGTTGCCGTTGTTCCATAAAATTGCGTTTTTAGATAATTTTAGGCGAGAACATTGTTCTTTTAAGCGTCACTATGTGTAATTTAAAAAAAAGTTCAGATGTTTAGGGGGCCGCAGCCAGGGCCAACGTTGGCCCGCCTGCAGCAGCTCTCTCTCTGCGTAAAGGGCAGATTAGACTTCTTCAGCCGCACACATCAAATGTGGCTTGGGTCTGGTTGTGAACCAGTTTTGCTGCTATGCTTCTGCAGCGTCTGTCTGGAATTTCTAGAGACACACAGCAGTTTCCCACTAAAGCGAAGGGGGGGGGGCTATTTGAGAACTCGTGAGAACTTTGGCGGATGGTCACGAGAACTTCCGCGGCGGGAGTGTTTATCTTCCAAAACAACAATGGTGCATCTTCAAAATATCACAGTCACAGAAATAGATCTAGAGTAGCTAGACATCGAAGAGGAACTAGTTCTGTTAATGGAGTTGGCAAAAAGAAAAAATTTGGGCAGAAGCTGCACATATGTTAGATGCTGATGGGGATGTTTTTTAATTTGTCATAATTAGGGGTGCACCGATAAATCGGCCGGCCGCGATTTCCTTAATTTAGGGGTGATTGGTGATCGGCCGATATTTTCATATGAAACCGATCTTAACCACCGATCTATTTACCTCCGCGAGTGTCTTAAAATCAGTTGCTATTNAAAGTCAGAATTCTGAGGTTAAAGTCAGAATTCTGAGAAAGAAAGTCAGATTTTGACTTTTTTCCCTCCATATAAAACTGAAATAAAATGTAAAAATAAGTTAACTTTTTTTTTTCAGTGGCCTTAATCCTCTTCTGTGTTCTGACAAAATTCTGATAAAAAAAGTCACAATTCTGTGATTACAGTCATAATTCTGAGATGAAAGTCAGAATTCTCAGGATAAAGTCAGAATTGTATGATTAAAGTCAGAATTCCGAGAAAAAAAGGCAGATTTTGACTTTTTTTCCCTTATAAAATAAAATAAAATGTGAAAATAAGTTAACTTTTTTTTTCAGTGGCATTAATCCTCTTCTGTATTCTGACAAAATTATGTGATTAAAGTCATAATTCTGAGATTAAAGTTGGAATTCTGAGGAAAAAAAGGCAGATTTTGATTCCCCCCCCCCATATAAAACTAAAATAAAATGTAAAAATAAGTTAACTTTTTTTTTCACTTGTCTTAATCGTCTTCCATATTCTGACAAAATTTTGATAAAAAAGTCACAATTCTGTGATCAAAGTCATAATTCTGAGGTTAAAGTCAGAATTCTGAGAAAGAAAGTCAGATTTTGACTTTTTTTTCCCCACATAAAACTAAAATAAAATGTAAAAATAAGTTAACTTTTTTTTTTCAGTGGCCTTAATCCTCTTCTGTATTCTGACAAAATTCTAACAAAAAAGTCACAATTCTGTGATGAAAGTCAGAATTCTCAGGATAAAAGTCAGAAATCTGAGATTAAAGACAGAGACAGTTCTGACTTTAAACTCATATTATTATGAAATAAAATGTAAAAATCAGTTATTATTATTTTTTTCCAGTGGCCCTAATCCTTAGTGCTACCGTGTTTAATTATGTATTTATTTTAGGGTAAAGTGGGCGGTCTTAACAGTGACGTAACGGGGTCAAAGGTAATTACGTACGTAACGCGTGGTGGTTTGGCGCCAGCAGGTTTCGCGGGGTGTCAGCAGCAGCAATAGCAGCAATAGCAGCAATAGCAGCATCACCGAGCAGAAATCGTCCCGGTTAACGGCTGCATCTACGAGCCAAGCGGCCGAAAGTAGAGCGAGGCTCCCGGCGGAGCGAGCAGAGGTTTATTCGCAGCGGGGTGAAGCCTCTCCCGGCTTGGATGCTGTCTCCTCAGCCCATCTGACACACAGGAGGTGAGCTGGTCGGTGTGGCGGCCGCAGCGGGAGCAAACAGAGCCGTAAGAACCAGTTGAGATGTTTCCCAGGGTTTTAGGCCCCTTATTGGGGGGTCTGTAGAAAGCTCCCCATGCTGCTAACGTCCAGCTGTGGCTGGAGGAGCTGCGCTAGCCGCTAGCAGGCTAACGGCTGGCAGCTAGCAGGCAGGCTAGCTGGTGAAAACATTCAGACATGTGCTGAAACAGAGGAGCCAAAGATTCAGCATCTTTAAACTTAAAGTCCTGCCAGTGGGCTTCAGCCCTGCTTCCTTCAGTTAGAAAAACTTTAATAGAAAAACTAAAGATAGATTCTGACTTTCAATTCATTTAGATTGAGCAATAAATGTAGAAATAAATAAATATAAAGCTATAAATATTTCTGTATTCCAAATGTTGTTTTTTTATTTTAAGTTTCTAAAAGTATCTTTCTAAAGTAATAAAAAAAAATAGTTGATTAATTCAGTTTTCTTCTTCTTCTATAGTGCCAATTCACAACACATATCATCTCGAGGCACTTTATAAGTTCACCAGATCATCCACCTTCTGAGTTCCAGTCCTGATTGGCTGCAGAGGAGCTGCTGACCCTCTCTGTCCCAACATCACCTGCTTTCTGAAATGTTTGTCTTCTTTCATCTTTCCTCTCAGAGGCCTGGAGGAGGTGAGGAATAATGATGGCGTCTGCAGGACCTCCCAGCACCTCCAGCTTCCTCCCTCTGTTGGAGACTCTGGAGGACGGTACGGCCGGGCAGTCGGAGCAGACGGACGCCTACCTGACCATCGCCAAGTGAGTCTCCCCCGTCGGTCGCAGAAGATGTCGGGGAGTGTGAGCGAGAAAAATAACTCATCTTTGTGTTTTCCAGTCGACTCAGTGGGGAGGAAGGCCAGCAGTTTCTCTCAGCTGTAGAGAAGAACTTTACTCGTTTGGGTAAAGTCATATTGGTGAGTAATCAGCCCTCCAAGGGTCTTCAGTCCTACTGGTCTGGAGAAATTCGATTCAGTTTATTTCTATAGCACCAATTCACACCATGTCACCCATGTTCATCAGATCATCCAGTCAGATTAATTCAAAGTTTTCTATCTGAG